TCGGCTTTCTGTAACTTCCAATGTCGTCCATTTCATGGATTTTGGAAGAGACCACATTACCAAAACTCGGCTTTCTCGGCCAAGGCAACCATGGCTACATCTCTCTGGTCCGAACCCCCGATGGTCTACTCATGGCTAAGAAAACATCTTACCGCAAATACTCAGAGAATCTCGAGAAAGAATCAAGGATCTTGAATCACTTCAACTCCATCCATTTCAACATCGTAAGACCCACAAGCCCTATTGTTTACGACGAAACCATGCCACTCAACGTCAAGGTCTCTTCCGTTTACATGGAACTCGCGCCACATGGTTCACTCCTAGACATGATAGCCAAAGCCGGTGAGATTTTGCCGGAGAAAGTGGCTGGTTATTGCATTCTCCAGGTTCTTGAAGGGCTTAGGGATCTTCACAGGGACGGTTACGTTCATTGTGATCTCAAGGCAGAGAACATACTTATCTTCCCAAGCTACACTCATGGAGAGCTTTGTGATCTCAAGCTTGCTGATTTCAGTTTAGCTAAGGAACCTAATGGACCTAATCCAGTGGAGCCTCTGTTCGAGGGAGAACCGGAATATTTGGCTCCAGAGGCGGTGGGGCCACGTGGAATGATCTCATCTGCGGTTGATATTTGGTCTTTAGGTGTTATGGTAATGCAGATGTTGGGGGCTATCATTACAGAAGGAGATAGGAGGACTTACTTCACGGGGAGGCTATCGCCAATGGTTAAGGACTTTTTGAGGAGATGCATAGTTCATAATCCGGTGGCTAGAGCCACCGCGGAGGAGCTGATGAGCCATCCTTTTGTTAGACAGAGTATTGGGGTTCCACCGCTTGAGATGCTTCCAGTGCCGTCTTGCTTAAGCAATGGAGGGGTTCAAGGAAGATTTTTTTAGCCGGATAAGAATAATTGTAAGTTTTGTTTAGTGCAAACATGTTATCGTCTAACTTGCTTGTTATTCTCTATTAGCTAATTAAGTATATGAGTCCGAAGAAATTGTGTACCTCAAATTCACAAACTCTTTTTGTATTTGTTGCCTAAACAATTATGAAGAATGTTACAAATTTTAGAATTTCTTTAATGATTTGCATTTTAATTGAATTTTTTTGATATAATGTCACTATTTTAAACAATAGATTTAACATAGATTTTCAAAATAATTGACAAAATGACTTGTCTATAAAATTGATTGGTTAATAGAAATAAATAACGCGCCAAATAATTGCTTAGTATAATAAATAACCGCCAAAATAATTTACTAACAAAACTAAACATCGCGCGCCAAAATAATTAACGTGCCAAAAATTTAAATTGACTAAATAGTAGTATTTATAAATTTTAATTTATTATCTAAAATCATTAGATTAGTTTTTCTTTTTCAAAAGCATTCATATTTTCTTGTTCATAAAATAATATTAAATTTTGTTTCTCAATTACATCCTTCTCTGATCTTTTTTTTTTTAATAAATCGTGGAAATTCCGAACATTTGGCTCTTAATATCCTCAGTACCCGGAGATAATTTTTATATATTCTGATTTATATAATAACTCTCCGTCTCAAATGGGGTTTGAACCCGGAGCAGAAAGAAACCAACTCCTTGTATTACCGCTAGGTTACCACTTACTCCTTTGGTCTCTGACTCTTTGTTTCTCAAGATTTAAAAATGAGTTTTGTTTTGGGTATGTATGTGAATTTCAATTTCTATAAAAAAAAATACACAAAATTGCAAGAATATTTAGCTACATTCATATGATTTGGAAATCGATCATCTAGAGAAGAGCCTGGTGAAGAAGTTTCCAGAAGAATTTGGAGGGTTTTGAAGACAAGAGACATGAATATATCTCCCTAACTTATCCACTTGTCTTGCCTCACCCTTTGTGTCCTTTTTGCATATCTTACATGTTTTGTCCACCCATCCTTCCTCCACATATTCCCCATCCACTATATAACATTTTATACAAAACATGTAAATTTACAATTAATTCAAATTTTTTATCAATTCATAAAACCATCATGTGTTTTTCTTACAAATCAAATAGATAGATAGAGTTTACCTTCGTGAACAAAAAAAAAAAAAAGATAGAGTTTACCTTCAACGTATGATTTAAAAAAATCCTTGTATGTCCCTCCGATTTTTCTCCTCAATGCCCCATACTACACCATTAAGAATAAATCAAACATAATTCTATGGTAATCAGTACTTGTCATAAGTATGATTTTTCTCATCCATGTTTAGAACTCGAGTTCCAAATTATGGTTTAATCAATAAGCAAACTTTTACATGTTAAAGATCTCTAACCCCAAGAACAAAAAAAAAAGAGGAAACTTAGGATCGGTATGGTTACTATATCACTTTGG